AGACAGACAGACAGACAGACAGACAGACAGACAGACAGACAGACAGACAGATAGATGATGAAGAAGAGTAACTGTTGGCATTTTCTATATATAGCCATTTCAGCATGGATGATGGGAGCAAGGTTCACTGAGTTTCCCTGACAGAGTGACCAATCTTCGAACATCAAAGCTTGTAAAAATACACAATTGGCTAAAAGGATAAGTCATGTGGAAAGTGACCTGTTTTAAAGATCTTTAACCTTTTCATCCTGCCATATCATTTTCCACTTTCCCCAACTAAATATTGAGACTTTAAAAAAATAAGGATAACAAGCCAGTGTAATTCACTTAACAATTAATTTATAATGCAGCATTGCCTGTTTCAATATTCAAAAGTAATTTTAAAATGCTTTAGCCTTTAAGAAAAAGCACACTCAGAAAAGTGACTTACTGAAGTAAAAATAAAAACCTGTCTATTAGAACTGACGCCAGTAGCAATATAACTTTGGATATCATTTGATTGGAAGCAAAAATACCATTCCTTTTGGTGAACTACTCATATATATCTTTAAAGTCACTGTGTGAACAGAAAGCAAGTTTCCACAGGCCTTTAATCTGTTTTCAGCAGGGCTCTCCTTATGTTATGATGGCCTAAGCAGGAGACAGTCCCTGTCTGATCTTGTTGGCACCTAGAACCTAACAGGGGACAGGCCCTCTTACTACTTGTATGAGAGACTGCCATGGCCATCTCAGAGGAAGGCAAAAGCAAGCCACTTCTACAAGGGGGCCCAGAAAACTATGCTGCTGTGTTCATGAAGCCACCAGAAGTTGAACTCAATTTTTTTTAAGATTTTTTTTTTATGCCGCCTTTATTATTTTTATAAATACTCAAGGTGGCAAGCATACCTACTCCTCCTTCCTCCTCTTATTTTCTCCACAACAACCACCCTGTGAGGTGAGTTGGGCTGAGAGAGAGGGACCAGCCCAAAGTCACCCAGCCGGCTTTCATGCCTGAAATTTGGAGGAGGGTTGATTCCATAACTAAAAGTAAGAAGTATACTGTATAGGTATAGGTTCCATGGACAAGAAATGCCCCAGAGTAGAACCAAAAGGGCTCTGACGTATCTTGTACTTTATCTAAATTTCTGAAGAGACCAAACTAGAACTAGACATTAGAAATGTCTCAAGTTACTACCAAACATGACATGCCGTATACAGATTATCTCTAGATACAAGCAATGTAATGATATTATTTTCTGCTTTCTGTTTAGTTCTGCCTTGAGGAACTCAAAGCAAGGCCATCTCTGCAAGAGGCATTATGCATAAGCTGCTTCTAAATGACGCAGCAAACCAGAATTCAGACATGTTGGGTCAGTAGTGAATGATCAGCATGTTGGCCTACATTACTTCAATGGCCCCTGCTTACTCTTCTGCCAGCAAACCATGGACAGCTCCCACTGTGATTTTTTAATGCAGGAAGGAGTAGGCAACCTGCAGCCCCAGGGCCACATGCAGCCCCAAACTCCTCTTGTAAAGCCACCAGAGCCTCCTATGACCACAAGTGCTGAAAATCTTCAGCTCCTTTCCTTTTCAGATAGGAAATAGTCCTCTAGAAAATCACAGACCTACCTTTGTGTGTGATACAAGCCTACTCATTTTGCCTAGCTGCCCAAACAACTGTGGCTTTTAGCCTCTCAAAAATGATCAAACCAGCCCCAGGAAGCCTCACAAAAGTTTCCCACCCCTAGCTAGCATGTGATTGAACTTTGTCTTATTCACTATGGTTCAAATTGCTAAACTAATTACATACAGGCCAGTTTATGTTAGGGCTGTGGAGTGATTCATATTTGAAAGAGAAAAGATGATTCAAATCATCCATGTAGCACCTGCTGGCAACTCCTTAACAAGGCTGTGTCATTTCCCGGTTACAGTACGGACTCAGTAAAAGTTTTGTCTGATTTAAGGAAGTGTTGAAAGGCATTCCATGTGCTTCCAATCGCCTTTCCCTTTTGAATCTGGATTGCTGTGCAGCTTTCATCAGTGACTTGCTTAATTGCTCCTGCTGGTGGAACAGCCAGTGGAAGCTACTGGAGCACTGCCACCAGCAAGCTGCTCATTCACTGCTAAGCCAGAATCTTGGCAAATTATAACTTGATTTCTTTGAATCATTTCCTATTATAGCAACATTGATACATAAGTCCATTGCTCATAACTTACGGTGTTTCCAGCATGACTTTACATACACTGGCCATCGTACTTAGACAATCTGTTGTATTCTCAATTGGCAAGGTTTTATTCTACAAAAGTTAAAACAAGCCAACAAGAGTTAGGTCAGTCTAGACTTCTCTCTGATATGACTTTCAATTTTCTGAAAGAATTAAAACTATCACTCACTTCTACAACAAAATGGGTGGTAGCATTACTCAGCGTTTTCAGGACTGGTGTAGCTTCTGCGTAGAACAGGGACATTCTGTTAGCCATCTCATTGTTCACTTCACTCTCAATGTCAAGCTGTTTAAAACATAAGAAAAGACTGGGGTGGGTTTTTTTTTGTTTTTTTAGAAGTTTAAATTTGTCCTACTGATGTACAGAAGCACATGAAAAGTTCCAGCCTTATCTAATGACCCTCATATTCAAAGGATAACGTGTTCCAAACCTTGTAACCAAGATCCAAACAAACTACACAACCACTGTGTCCTAAGGAAAGTTGGAATTCTGGTTTTTTAAACACCATTCCTCCTTTAGGGAAACAGCGTTTGAAGTGGACTTTCAAAAGCATTGTATGACACTATGAAAGTTGTTACATTTAAAGAAAAACTTACCAGTGCTATTTTTAATTATTATGAACATGTATGGTAACTATTAATATCTTTTATAATTTTTCTTACCATTAACATATGGCTTTTTCATACTAATCACATTATCTAGTTAGCAATCAGAAGACAACACCATCCCCGTTGCGTCAATACATAGAGGGATTGTGGATGTGTTTTGATTATTGCAAAAGAAGGCGTAGCAACACAATAGAAGTCTAAAGGCAGAATCTCAAAAAGTAAAAGTGACTAACATCATGTTCAGCAAATGTTTCATGATCTATAAAAAACGCACTGTATTTATAAAGTTATAAGCATGCCATTTAAAAACCTTGCCTCCCTCTGATATCAGCTGCATCTACAGCAGTGGATCCTTTAAAAAGAGTTCCATGCTACAACACTTTTAAGCAAAACGAGCAAAACCAAAATTCTTCAACTTAACCCACATAAATGTATATGAAATCTGCCTTTGGCATAACTACAAAAATTACACAGGAATGAATATGGCATAGGGAGGAAAGGTAGTATAGCCCAGTCAGTTTAGATAATACTGAGATAAATAGGCCAAGCTGATTCCCTAACTTAGTACGAAGTAGTTTCCTATGTTGCTACCTAGTTGTCTCATAAATGAAATCCCAAACTCTGGAAAGAAACATTTTACTTACATGCATGTTGTTTATTCTGTTGCGACTTAATGTCCTTCTATAGTAGCTAAAGTCATTTTGAATTGCCGGGTTTCTCATCTGAAAGAACAAAAGAAGACCAACTTCAGTGTTCTTAGAAAGACAACGAAAACTCTCTGTATTAGCTGAGTATTGCTTTCTCCTTACTAACCTTAAGTTCATCAAAGCGGAGAGTAAAATGCAGAATCTCTGCAAACTGCTTTGCTAGTGCTTGCTCTCGCTCTAAGTGCTGAGTTGGTGTATAGGGCGGACAAGTCAAGGATTCTAATAAGCTCTGTAATGCTTTTTCTGAAAAAAACAAAACAGAACAAAATCATTGAGGTTTGTTTCATTTTGTAAAGGAATCTTCCTGCTGCTTTAGAAAAACTACCTCTTAAACATTTCAAAAATGTACTGATTGCTGATTAAACATGTAAATACATTTACAATTGTATATTCAAATGAAGACCACTTGGAGGAAAAGAGCAAACTGTTTTAAATATGAAATAACTTGTAATTTACTAAAAAAAGTTACAAGATAGTTAGAGAAAGTACAACCTTTAATCCTTACTTTTCACTGTTTACCATTTACTATTCAGTAAGGACTATGGAGTCTTACAGCAGCACAGTAGTATGGCTTCAACAAGTGAAATCTTAGAGATTTGAAATCTGGAAGCTGATGCTTGTTGTGAACTCAACCAGTAACAGGGACTGGGGTGGGGGAAGGGAAAGAGGAAAAAAGACCATGTGTGGAATTACATGGGAGTGCAATTCAAACAGGTGGAAAAAGTAAATGTTAGCACTCTTCCTGCCTGAATTTGATAAAACTGATATAGATAACTATGGTCAGTCTGCAACTGATTCACCTGATGGAGTTGAATTTGTTCCACGAAAGCTAATGCTATAATATTTATTAGTCTTCAAGTGCCACAAGTTTCCTTCTCAGTTTTTGTTGCAGCAAATCAACATGTCTCTTCCTTTGCAAGTTTTATCTTGTTTTCAAATTTCTGTCTTACTACTTCTTTCTGGATTTCTAACAGGGATGAGTAATTGGCAGCCTGCCATTCACAAACTCTTCTTTTTGGAGCTTTCAGGGCCCCCAGAAGTTATGCTGCTAAAATTTGGTAACAACTGACAAATAATAACTTTGTGCCAGTTTTTTGGCAGTAAACAAAACCAAATAAGTTGTAAACCCTGGGAAAAGCTTAGCAGAACTAAAAATGAACATCCTTCTAAAACACATTAAGAACCACCATATTTCAAACTTGAAAAATTCAGACCACCTTGTGTTCTGCATTCTATGTTCTGCAGTTCTAGCAGTTGAAAAAAAATAACTAAGAAGCTTAACATGTGTCAACCCCCAAATTACCTGTCCCTGCTCTAACTACATTCTTCTAAGAATACACACACACAATGTTCAGATATGCATATATCTAAAGAAAAAAATGTAACAGGAGAGCAGAAAATATCTGATAATATTCACAAACATTCAGGAACTATCCAGTTCTTGACAGTATAAAAGACAGAACCTCACCTAGTCTGAGAGAAAATTCATAGAACCGCTTTAACCTCACAACCAGAGGGCATACTGAATTCCATGCTCTTTCCTGAAGCTGAATATCATTCGGGTTCTGTATTGCCTGGAAGACAGTAAAAACTTGAATAACTTCATTTATTTTATGTTAAGATGTCTATCCTGCCCTTCTCATGCACATAAATGATCATAAACAACAGTCAGAAAGAAAGTTAACTCTAATACAGTATGGAATCTGTCTTTACACTTGAAAATGATCTGCTTGAAGAATTTTTTGTGTCCCATTTTTTAATCCCAGAAGCTTTTACAAGAAATCTGTTCCAACTTTTGGCAAGAGCAATTTGCCCCTACTTTAGGAACTAACTGGATGGATGAGAGGAAATGTCTGTGTGTGGAGGGAGTGGATGTGTCAAGAAAAAAACCAATCTCTCTCTCTCTCTCTCTCTCTCTCCTGATTTATTAGGATGTACTTTACTGAAAGATCCAATTATTCCAGCAGATTTCTTACTTTTTCATACCCTTGCTCTTCTCTTTCTCCCCTCTCTTTACTTCTCTGTATAAATAAAATAAAAATTAAAAATATGCCTGTTTAGAGTGAAGGTGATAGAAGCCTGATTTTTTTATCCTCTTCCATACTGTATGTTATTCTATAAAGTGCCTTAAGTACTGATGGCACCTTATACTTTAGGAGAATATGATCATTCAAGGGAACTTGTAAAGAAAACAAAAACATACACAGATCAGCTACTGGTCTGGCGAGTATGCTAGAAACTTTTCAGCCAATATTCAATGCTCAGGTCCCATTATTATCCAGGTCAGTAAGAAATAATAACCTTAGGAACAAAATCTTGTCTGATCCAAATCTATGCATTCGTATGTACTCATGTGCCAGACCGTACTTCTAGTTTTTATTTCAGAATGGCAAAGCACGGCACTATAAGTTTAAGTAAGATTATCATTTTGATAATTTCATACGGTAATTGGCTGTAGTGATAATTTATCTATCTCCAAAAAGGAGATCTCTCAAAATGTCTCTGAAAATGTATAGTTCTTAGTTTTAAATTTTCAGTTTTGCAGATTATAATCCCAACACTAAAGAAAGAAATCCTGACTGTATTGTTTCAATGCTGAAAACTATGTAAATCACCCACTTGTGTTTAATTTCCTTCTTTAGAATATATTGTTTTCCTATAATATGATTTAACGCACATCTCTAATCTCTTGTCCAGCTCCTTTGTAAGACTGCAGGTCTGAAAGCATACTTTCTGAGTCCTGTAAAACAGCGTTGACTTGGTTCCATATCTCCCTTTCTCCATCAGTAGGCTGAGCATCTAGATAAAACATAAAAAGCAAGTATTGCAAAAAGCAATTGACTGTAACCAGAACAGTCATATGAAGCACAATTACTGTCAACTAAAATTTATTGGTTATTTGATCCATATTTTATTACTTTCATATCATTCAGGTGACACTTTATCCATTTTCAGATACATGCCTTGATATTATATTAAAGCAGAATCAGGGTTAAAATTACTGCTTCCTGACACTCATACACACAAATAGGAAGAACTCTTTACAATGTTTTTTTTTTTTTAATGTAACTGATTTACTTCATGTCAAAGACACCATGGACTAAATTCAGTCTAGGTAAGGAAGATGAACTTCTAAATTTTTTATGCAGCTTTATATTCACCCCCAGGAATGTGACAGATATTCTATAGTAAGAGTGAATACTACTCAAGAATTCTCCCTTTGTTTCCAGTCTAAATAACAGTCCAGTGTTAAACTGGTATCTTTCCCATGACTTACTCTTTTCATTTTTTCATCTTTAACATAAATATATTCAGTAGCAAAAGTTATTGCCCCATAACATCAGATTTAGAAAATATCCTCACAATTGATTAAAAGTATCTGTTGGACTAATCCATTTTTTAAAAAAAAAATAGAATTCAAAATTAGCAAGTCTTCTTGGGATCCAAAAGTCCACCCACAATGGTAACATCTTCAAGAGGTTGGCAATACCTAGAAGCCTCCTTGTCTCCCTCAAATATAATTTAAACCAGACATTTGCTTGATATGTGACATGCTATATATATCTTTTTTCTTTTCTGAAAATATCTTAGGAATGAGCCTAGTGGTGGGAAACCATCTTTATCAAGAATCAAGAAAAACTCCAGGACGATGTGAACCAAAAACATTTCTCTGTGCACATCGGAATCCTTATGACAAACTTGCTGCGTTGTTTGTCCATGCTATAATGAGACTAAATGAATGAAAGCTTTATTATGGTCTTAGACCAGAGTGCTACTAAAATACAATTGGAATAAGACAAAGATTAATAGGTACTGAGATGGTAAGAAACTGAAAGTGACAGAAAGGTACCATATTAAGGTCAGCTCAGTCAACAGAACTGAAGAGAGAGCAGCTGTAATCTCTACATGCAAAAAGAAGGAGTGTGGCTCTGTCTACCCTACTTGTAGCAAGTGACAGTAGCAGAGAGAAGCCTTCTCTATCCATAGAAAAACAGTGTTCTAAATCATGGGATGGAAGGAGAGCTTCCCAGTACACACTGATGTTATCCAAGTGTCAATTCCTCATAACTATAGTACTTGAAGTTCATCATTAGCTACATAAAACTGGATATGTGGGTCACTATTTTTAGAAACTGAATATTATATCACCAGAAGAAGATGGAGGTAAAAGCATAATGATCCATACCCAGGAAAGCCAATCTTCTGGATTGGTTCCACTGTCAAAAATACCTTTCCTGAATTCTGCAAAGGTAATCAGGAAAGAAAAAGAAGACACGAATCCTATCCTTCGTGTAATCTTCTAACAGAAGAGACCACACTGTCTGCATATGCCTGTTGACTCAGCATAATAACTAGTATCTGTTCACTCAGTGTTGCCCCAATAAAAAATAATGTGTATTTAAGATTCCAAATGTTCACATAAACAAGTCTTAGAGATCAACTCTGAGAACTGTAAAAAGTATTTCCCAAGAATCAATTTCCTCCTGCTTCATGTACATCAAATTAAAGTGCAGTTGTGAAATGTAACAGTACACATCTTATGAGAGAAATGCTTGCTGCAAAGTTTTAAATGTTCAAAATACAGTTTGCCAGTTATTAATTAGGCAGGAACAATGTCTAAAAATCTTTACCTTTAACAATGCTACAGTGAAATATACTTAAGGTGCAAAGGAAAAACCTTCATGAGAAAAAAAGAAGTCAAATCTTGTACTTGTTTGTCACCCAGAGTTCCTTTGGATAGATGGATGGCTATATGTTTAATAAATAAATCTGGAGGATCTAAACTAAGATTTTTCACTCATCACTTTAACATCTTCTACTCATCCCAGTGAGACAAATCAAGCAAGGAACTGGGGGGAATGGCTAGAATGGGTATAAAATCTTTCCAATGTCTCTGACAAGGTTTGATACAGCCACTACAGAAAGTGAGGTCCCCACCCCAATCTGATGCAGATCCAGAATTGTATTGTTATCAGCAATCCTCTTCTATCCATGAAACCTGACAAGCCTTTAATATGGCAAAATGTGCATTGATGCAAAGTTCAAATCCTTGTGCATCATAGTAAAATTCACATGCATCATATCTAAAATCTTAGAGAAATATATTCAGTATTTTCCAAACAATTTTCTACAGGCTGGGGGATTATGATGTGGAGAAGGCACTTTCATACAAGTAACATGAATTTCTTAATATTATACTATTTGGGGAAGTTTGTACTATGTTCTTGCATATTCTCTCATGCTACTTTGGATGTCAACTTCTGTCATAAAACATATGTACAGTTCTTTTTCTTCCTAATTTCATAGTGAAAACTCTATAGGGTCCAGCTAAACACAAGATGAACTGTGCTGTAATTTGCTAACTTCAAATGGAAACAGTAACATATAACAGTTTCTATTTGGCATTTCAGCAGTAATATCAATTTTGAAATGCTTTACAGCAGAAGACAATGTGAAGCCAACCATATGTTGGTTAATAGCTTCTATGTTCCCTGACTGCTGGGCTGATGGAAATAGGAATCCAACATCTGACAGTCACCAGTTTCCCATTTCTGAGTTACACTATTATATATGCATTGCAGGGAAAGTATCATGCTTTAGATAAATGTATCAGTGTAATCTCATTTAAATTCAAGATAATTATTAGAATATGACAAGTTTTATATTAGTTACACAGAAGTAGATTTTCTGTAATGATTTCAAGTTATATTTATTAACAAAGTTCTTCAGAAAAAAATGTTAATTTTAGCATTCCTCTTTCCATTTTTTTTAAGGAGATCATTACATATCACGTTCTATTCTGTGGTTCTGGTATGAGTAGCTTCTTTAATTATGTACCACTGTCTTGATAATATATTTCATGCAGCAGCAAATCTAAAAGTCTCATGTAGTACTGGTATTAATTTTGAATATGAGTCTAAATACCTAGAATCTCTGCATCCCATACAAGTACTCATGTAAATAATGTTCAGGAGTCTGAGAAAATCCAAATATAAAGAAATTATTGAATACATTGAAAAGGAAGTTCCAATAAGCCTGAAAGTGATACAGCCCTTAGAAGAACTTCATCAAATTCTTATTATGAAATATAACTGCTTGTATTGAAAAGCAACACACAGTTGTCTTACTGTTTTTAAAATAAGAAATTAAGTAGCACGCAGAGATAGAACACAACTTATTGGATGAAGGAAATTTAATACACTAGTTGATCACTTTTCAAAGAAAAGCTCAAGCTACATGCAAACTGCAAACTTAGTATACTGAATGATGTAGTAAAAAAGTTAATGTGTAAAAGTATATTATTTCACCCACTTTGATACAAAGCTACAGGAAATGCAGTCAAGGGCTCACTTCAATTGCTGTATTTTGTTTTGTTTATATGGATAATAGAGATTAATTCTCATATGGACTGCCCGTAGTCTACACGTGGTCCTCAGCTGATTTCCATGCAAACACTGGACCCCCCTCCTAATAGTAATCAACTAGGCAGCAGCGGGAGGAAATTCAAATAAGAGGAGACAGAAGTGAATTCACCACCATTATGTCAGCTGATTACTTCACTCTGAACAAGCCAAAAATAAATGTTTAAATCTCTGCAAGTACTAAAATTGGGAAGGAAAAGATGAATAAACAAGTTGTGGGTTTCTGTGTGTGAATGAGAGAGAAATGAAAAGAATGGGAATTCACTTGTCCAATGCTCAGTTGTCAGTTATTCAACAGTAGAAGAAAGCAAGATGAACACCACATGATTTTGTCACTTGCTCTTTGAGTGAGATGGGCGGTGACTAAATTTGAAATACAAATAAACAAACTGATTTAGGTATATCCATTAAAGGACAGGTATATTTTAAATTTTTCATCAAGAATTTTGTACTTTATCTAAAAGGAAGATTCCCCCCATGTAATAAGAGTTGTTGAGAGTCAGGCAGCATACAAGTTTAATAAATTATTGTTATTACTTGTGAATGGGGGAGGGGTTGTCTTACATTCACTGATAAGAACAGAAGGAGCTACTGAAAACAAAAGAATGAGTGAAAGGGTGGATGCTTTTGAAGATTAGCCTGATGTTTAGCTGTTGCCTGGGAGAGGCTGTTCGTAATGCTTAATAAGGCGTCTCTTTTCTCTCTCTATCCAGTTACTTCTTCACCTCTCTTTAGCTCCATTCAGTTTTGTCCTCTTTTCTTTTCTTCTCAGTGCAATTGTCCTTACTCTTACCCCATCTTCCCCTGTTTTTTTTTTCTTTTTTTTTTTCATTGCTGTTTCTGCTGGAAGGAGAAAGAGGGTGTGTGTGTGTACAGGCATATGCACAGGCAGACTTGTTTATATGTGTGTAAGAGAAAAGTTGTACATGCAGATGGGATCCATTAATTTTGTAAATGGATATCTTATTTTATAGGCAATTAATTAATTTTTATCAATTCAATTAATTTATTTTTTTGCTATCCTGGCCCTGCCCTCCCCCTTTTTTTTAGGTGGAGAAATAGAAGTGTGTCAAATACACACACTCCCTGAGTTGGAAACATTAGGTTGACAAGATAGAAGAGCATTAAACAGGATTTTTGTTCTTTTCATTTAATTATATTAGAACCTTTGAATTTGCCTGTTTCCCTTCATATACTATTTAAGTTTTGAAATAATATACCACAGAATTTTAGTAATGTGCTTTTAGACACACCAATAACGCAAGAGCCAAAATAATTTCCTTGCAAGTTTCTTTTGAATATAGCACAAGCCACTTATAATGATTGATTCTGTATAGCCTGTGGTGATTTCGAGGCCCAATTCTTCTTTTTGTAAAGATGCAACTCAGTGACAAAATTTGGATCTGTGAACTAAGAAGCACTAAATCCACTCTCTACAGGCTGTAGTCTTCACCGACGCTAAGAACACTTTTTAAAATGCAGGCTGCTGAAATAATCAGAATTTGTCACAAAGTGAGCCCATGAGCCAAGTTCTTTTAGCTAACGCTAATGATCACAAGCAATATTATTGGGATTTTGGATGAACTGAGTAGTGACTTTTCAGGATGAAACAGGAGAAGTCCAAGTGGCGTGTGCTATAGTACTTGCATGGTAGATTAATACATGCCTTTTATTATACTTAAAAAAAAAAAAACCTCCCCAAAGTAATGCAGGCCAAACTTTGCTCACTTTCAAAGTCTAGGAAAAAAATGGGCCCTTGATCAAAGTCTGTACAATTGAGAACTTTTAAAAGATTTCCCATTTGGTTTCTGAAAAACAGAAAAGGAACAGAAAAGGTATTCAGGAACAAACCTTGAAAGCACTGTTATCTCTTTTGTACTGCTTGAACATGTTTATCTGTCAAGGCAAATCAGGCTTAAACATTCCTTCTCAACTAGCTCCTAAGTCAGGGAAAACAATGTTCCAATCTTTGAACTTACTTTCAAAATCCAGGAAAAAATGTGGGTAGTTTTCAATTTCTCTGGTAAGGACTTTAAGAAGATTACCCATACCAGCAAAACCTAGTGAATGCAACAAAATCATAAAGAGTTATATATGCAAAAGTAGAAGCTGAAAAAGTAAGGGCTTGGCATGCACTGCTAGTTCAAACGGAAACAGGAACATTCAGACTGTTTACCAAAGTATTTAACAATAAATGTCACAGTAAACATATTGGGAGTATTGACCAAATATGAAAAGTATGTACAGTAACCATACTTCATTACTGAGAGAAACATGTAATAAAGGTAGCATTTCCAGTGGTTCTTTCCTTGTATTGCTGCTGTATTTGGACAAGCAGCATTTTGTAGGTTTTGACTACTTTAATGAAAGTGAACGTACAATATTATCTTTTAATGCATCTGATTCTTAAAGCTACTAGTTTAGTACAGGGTTCTGCAAAAGGATATCCTTTCCCCCTTTTCTTTTCTGTGTTTCATCCATTGCTCCAGAACAGATTTCAGGAGGCATGCTGGGGGTTTCACCAGGAAGCAAATCAATTTCTTTGGAAGATAGACACCACTGGAAGAAACTCAATATATTCAATATAAACATAAAAAAAAGTACCCCTGTTCTAGTGTATACATGCAAAACATAGCTGGACATAATTTAAATTATAGCATTTGTTTATTTCTTAATCATTTTTCTATTCAGCAAATCAAGTCTGACAGATTTTAAGAATTACTATTGCATATTATTTTGGGATGTAAATAACTATTATTTAATTATAATTAGATAAAGAGAGTGGGCCATTGTCAGGTCATAAGTGGCTTCCATTGTTGCACATAGTGTAGTAAAATTAGCCCTAAGCAACTTCTGTTGATTTATTTGACAGAATGATCTAATCTGGAATTGGTTTTACATGTTATTATTTTGTTTATGGAAACCCAATGAACCTGGTTTCAGTAATGAAAGAACAATGACTCAGAAGGGTTTACAGTACTACTTCTCACATCAGGTACAGGTGCTACTCTGATTCTGTATTTAAGATCTCTGAACAATACTGGGTAAGGACTCTGAACAATATCTGAACAAATCTACTGGTAAAATTGTTAATTTGTGATCCTGCTAAACAAATTTACTCCTTTCAATGAATTTCAAGCACAGTAAGGCTTAAAAATTTCTGGATGTATGCCACAGTCTTACTCTAAGAGTAACTATGTCAAAGCTTTTCCATTAGCAATATTTTGCATACAATATATTAACAAATACTAGAGAATGTATAACCAGGTAAGAAGGAAGCAAGGAAGGATGAAATGAAGTCTATTTTTCTCAGTGTTGGCCACATGGTGAAATACAATTTAAAAATACAATTATAACTGATTATGTAAAATTAACTCTGAACCCACCAACACTTTTATATACCATGCATAAATGCCACTGTACAAAACACAAGAATCATGCTTAAAATGGATTTTCAAATACAGTACAATACAATTAAAGACGACATGCTTCCAACCTTAATTTAAAGGCACAACTTACCTCATTAAAAAAATGAAGCCACAGTATAATCCCACTGTATTTTTGTCCTAAACCATGAGAGTTATTCTCAACAAACTCTTAATCTCAAGGCATCCGTATTAAAAGCAAACAAGCTATCAATAACTGCTAGTCATGTTGACTATATTGCCTCCAATATCAGAGGCAGTATGTCTCTGAATGCCAGTTGCTGAGAAGCATGAGCAAACATGGGCTCTCAAATGCTGTTTGGCTACCCTTGAAACAGAATGCTACACTAGGTAAACCTTTGATGTGATTTCCAGCAGATATTTTCTTAACTTCTTATAATGTTGTTGCTTCTGTTCTTATGACATTATCAAGGGCAGGGGAACCTGCAGCTCTCCAAAATGATGTTGAATGATATATTCCACTTATTCTGCCCAGGATGGCCCGGTGGTGATGGACTGTATGAGTTCTAGTTCAGCATCATCTAGTTCAGCAGCAGCACAGATTCCTCACCCATGGTATCACACAACTATGGCCACCACTGCCATGAACAGCCATTTGTTCTACCATAGCCGCAGTTTTCCCAGGAGAAAGAGGCCAGAACTAGATGGCCCTGCCCCATTCTGCAGATAAAATTCATATTGCCAGAATAAAATGTGGTTCCCTGGCAAGACAGCAACTGACACTACTTGATAAGTAATGTATAAAATGTCTCAGTACATTGGTCATGTCTGGTAAGTATTTAGATGGGACACCATCATGGGATACCTGGACTATATAGGAAATTTATCTATCTTTCTAGCTTACATTGATCACTGACCATAATAAAGTCC